CTTTCTGCTGTGTTTCTGCTGAAGGTTATTCGTAAGAGAAAAGATGGGCATCTGTCTGAATAATACTACTCCATGTATACAGTAATTAATATTCTCCATTTGTTGTCTCCTTTCGTTTAGTTTATCATGAGGAGCTAAATGCACCTGTGAGAAGGAATAAAGAGGAACCAAAACCACGGCCACTGAGAGTGGGCGATACAGAGAGGCCAGAACCTGAGCGTAAGTGCCAAATGGAAAGCATGGCCAATTTACTGCAGCTGCCCAGTTTGTTTATGGGTTTTGGATAGAAAAGTGATCTTTCTCCTCTAGCCCTCAGTTTTGGGGCATGGTGTCCTGAGCTGGTGGGGAAGTTGCATAGCAAAGAGCGGCTTGTACTTGATCTCCCCGAGGAGGGTAATGCCTCCATGAGGAAAGACGTCTCTCCTGTGGTGTCTCCTTGTAGATGAAGGGTTGTAGAAAATGTCACATTCACACAATAGCTCCCACATATTGTGGCTGGCTATACAAATACTAAGAATCTGTGCCTGGCAGATTTCTAAAGCTGAAGTAACAAGGGATGTTGGAAGTTGTGATTCAAGTGCATTGGCAGTTGAAATATTACGAGGTATTGGTCAGGGCTGAGGACCATATTTTCTTGCGGGAAAGCCATGAATAGCAAAGGTGCTATATGCTGTTTGGTCATAGTATTTTAAAAAGGCAGTGTGAAAGGTGAAGGGAGAATATACTTCCTTGCACTATCCCCTTTATTAATTGAAAAGTTTTTCCCTCTCCTTCAAAGGTTCTCCTCCAAATCGCAAGCGTCCACCCAATGAAAAAGCAACAGATGATTATCACTATGAGAAATTCAAGAAGATGAACAGGCGATATTAAGACCTGCTCTGCAGGGTACTGGGGACAGAACCTTTGGGTGGAGCTTTTATTTTTTGTAAGGACAAGATATTGTGTAAATAACTTCTGAAGCGGAAGGGGGCATTTCCTACAGATCTGATGTATGCTACAAGACTCCTCTTGCAGTGCGCTTGTAGTGAATTAATCTGCACGGTCTTTGTGAACTCTCCTGTCAGTGATAACTTGTATAAAATGTATTTTCAGTTATAAAACTTCCTTTGTAAATACATTAGTTTCCTGTTGGCATTTTTAAAATATGAAATCAAGTTTGTCTATGGATCTTACTTCTTATAAAAGAACTTATAAAGGCAAGAGTGCTCTCAACTCGTAAACATATAGGGAAGGTCTAAGGCTGGTTTGCCCAAGTGATGTCACAAAGTAACTACATAAATAGAGACCTCTTGTTAGTTCCGGTGGCTATAAAACATATAGAGCATGCGTAAATCTGAGATGATAACGCAGGAATTTGTTCAGTACGACAGGGGTGTTCGTTTTCCCTCCCTCTTGGGAGTTAGGTGCTACATATAATCTCAACATTTGTCTCTGAGCAGCAGTTGCGGCATGGTCAGGCCCCTTATCTCTTCTGCAGGAAAATATAGTAGTACCTGAGCAGTGAATACTTGAATCTTTAAATGGTGACTATGGTGTGTGTGTGTGTGTCTACTCTCTCTGCATTCATTTCCATAGCAAGGAATCTCTCTGGTTGCTAACAAAGAGAAAAAATGATCAGATTATAACTGGGTCTGTGTTTTGTTTGCTTTGTTGGGGGAGGGAGGGGCGGGTAATCTCTTTAACACTAGAAGTCTCCTGGGATAGTCCGAATCCAGAATTACAGATTAAAACAACAAAAAAGTAAGCAAAGAGCAGGCTCTGCTTGATGCTGGAACATTTGAGGGAAAAGAATTTGAACCTAAAAAAACCCAAATGTATTTTAACTTGTCATTAGTGACATCATCTTTTTTTATTTCTAGTATGTAGAAGTCTTTGTTTGGGGCTGCTTGTGATGAAGTCCTGTATGTAAAGCAAGCTGAAAATAATGTAAGGAGTGAAGGTGGAAGGAATGGCGGGAGGCGGCAGAGCCTGTTCTGTTTACACAGGAGCGGCAGCAGCTGCTGTGGGAGCGCCTCTGAGACCAGCCAGTTCCCACCCCCTGCCTTGGCTCGGACACAGGTGCTCGCAGTGCACTTCTCCGTTTCCGCCCATCCTGTTTTCCTGTCATGCCGCTCCTCACGCTGTCTGAGCGCTGCAACCCCCGGAGTTCCCTGTACTCAGTGAAGTCAGATTTCTGGACCCAAATATAAAGCGGTGACAGTCAGAGCCTGGGGCTCGTGTGTGGCAGGCTGCCACGTAGTGCACGACCATTTCTTTCCAGCAAATGAAACTCTCCGTCGCCAGGGGCTTTCTGGGCCAGGCTATTCGCCCTGCCTGACGCTAGCAGAGCAGCTGCAGTGTAGTGCCTGGATGTGCGCATGTGCTTTGTGCCTGCACCAGGCGCTGTGATTTGGCGGTGCAGAGGGCCACTCCTGCTATTCTATACAGCCAGTGGGCTGCTTCATCTGACCTAGAGAGGGCTAGAGCCGCCAGGCAGCGCGCCCGCAGCTGCAGCTTATCGCACCTCCCACGTGGCACTAGAGCCCCTGAGCGCCAGGGCCCATGTGATGCCCCTGGCACCGCGCAGGCGCGTATTGGTCATGTGACCCCCATTCCAAGATGGCGGCCGCCTGCCGAAGTGCGATGGGGCGCCGGAAGTGGCCGGTGCGGAAACGAAAGCGGGGACGCGGCGGCCAGAGTCCGCGGCGCGGTTGAGGGCATGAAGCTGCGGAGCGCGGCGGGGGCCGCCCTGGGCCTGGCGCTGCTGCTGAGCCCCGTGCGCGCCCTGGAGCCCGTCAGCATGGGGCTGGCGCTGGCCGGGACAGCGGCAATTGCGGGCTCCGTCTTT